AGGGTCAAAGACAGCCTCCTTCATGCACCAATACTGGCGTTGCCAGACCCCGATCGTCTTCTGTGATGCTTTCACTTTGCCATCGTGCTGCAAGCAGACGCCGGGGAGAAAAAACGTGTGATCGCGTTCGAACCTAGCCAGCTTAAGGCTGCGGAGAGAAATTCGTTTGTGATCTACACAAATAATTCGTCATTACGCACTGCGACTCAGGTGCCTCATCTCTCGCAGAGAATGGCCAGGTAGCTCTCATTCTTTGCAGAATATAACTTTGAGGTGGAGTATAAGCCAGGAAAGCAGAATGCTTTTGCTGATGCGTTGTCACGCAGACCAAATTATAAGCTTGCTCGTGTCGCGACGGTGACGTCGACAGTGACGGATTTGATTCACGCCGCATACGCGAGTGATCGTATGTATGTAGCGCGACTACTGGCTTTTGGGGGCAGGGATTTATGAAACTCGGACACGAAGTTATCGGCACGATTGTGTGCACGGTTGCACTGTATTATAGTACAGATTCGACGAATACGCCACGGATTGTAGTTCCTCACGATGAGATAATATCGTATCCTCTATGATGCCTACGACACCCCACTAAGTGGTCATCTCTGTCGTTAAAGACGTTCAGCTCTGTGAAAAGACGAACAGCTGAGTGAGTTGCCACTACTGGTGGTTCAAACTGTACAAATGGACGAGAACATATTAGCTTACGTGTGAGACATGTCAGAGAGTAAAACCCTCTCTGAATGCTGCGGCGCCGCTAGCCAGGTTACCGGTACCATCCGAGTGTTGCCATTTAATGAGTATGGACCTTGTGTTTGGCCTGCCGAAGGACTCGGCGATCAAATACGGGTGTGTGGACCGTTTGAGCTTGAGCAAGATAGCTCATCTTACACCATCGATGGTGTGGGTACAGCGACGCTGTTTGTCAATCGTGTCATTCTACAACACGGACACCCGGTGTAGTAGGGCTGCCGTAGGTCTCTTCTTTGAGGAAGCTACGCTAAGGTCACCGGCCTTACGTTCCTCCTAATAAAAACAGTAATACCTGATTACTATAGAAAATTCGGACTAATATAGTAATGTGTATTACTACTGGCAATCCTTCCACGTGATGGCTTTTTGTTACTTTGTAGCCACACCACTGTGTTATTACACTAACTGTGTAATACACACATACGCACGGTCGCACAAGATTGTGCGACCCGCCCTCTCGTATAAGGGTACGTGTCACCCCGTTACACCCGGAGTCAATTGTCTCTGACAGAAAGCCATGCTTCACTGGGAAGTTTAGGTCTACAGGATGCTTGGCACCAATTTGACTATGTCAACAGCGGACCTTATGCAGACCGATGGTCAAATTGAGCGCCTGAATCGCGTCCTTGAAGACGTTCTTCGCAGCGTCTGCGCTGAGACGCAGAAGCGCTGGAGCGCTATGTTGCCATTCGTAGAGTTCACCCTGAACAATGCAGTGCAACTTACTACCGTCTACACGTCATTCTACATAAACGGACTTGTTAATCCTGCTGATGCCGCCATCTAATGGCTCAAGACGGCTAGTTGGTGTCAGCTCTCTAAAAAAAAGTCGGAGACTTCCCATCTACCAGACTGAGTGTCTTACAGCACATTTGCGACGCGATGGCTGAAAGCCAAGACATGCAGAAGGAATATGCAGACGGAAGAGGAAGGAGAAATATAATAAACATTGAGGTCAGAGACCTGGTTTAATAAATGCCAAAAACCTGCCTACACATGCCGTTTCTGCTGTCTTTAAGATGACGCTCCGTCCATGGTTTATTAGACCTTTTCAGGTCGTTGCTAAGCAAGACTTTGCGTACACGCTGAACCTTTCGAGAAGGATACCCACCGACCCGGTGTTTAATGTGGGCTTGCTTAAACCGTACCAGGATCCGGCGCTAGTGAACACAGAAGCATTGACGCCGTGGCGGCGCCCAAAGACGCTCGGCCACTCAGAAGTTGAGCCAGCAACTAGTTCTGAGCACGGAGTGCAACAATTTCCATTTCCATCGGCGCAAGGCTCTCCACCGTCGCGCGAAGTTTCGATTCGCCTACTCGACGGCTAGGAGCCGCTCCGACAGAGCATGATTATTCTCAACATGCGGCAGTTGGCGCACAAAGTGCTCCAGACTTTCAAAGTTCTCCCGTACAGCGGTAAGCTACTTCGGAAAGATGCTCGGCAGAATATCGACGACGACGGGCTATATCCGTCAATGCTCGAAGAGCATAGCGAGTCACCGAACGGCGATCGACCAAGTCGTCATCGTCCGCCGCCGACTTTTGTCGATGAGATTGGTGGTGTACAATATGACGCAATACGCATTATGGGTCGACTTCGTTGATAGGGTCAAACTCAATATTTCGTGAAATGGCGGGGATACCCCGACACCAAAAACTTGCGGAGGTTTAACATGCCACTACCCAGACGTTGTGAACGCTTATGAACAGAAGAATCATGACGCTTTACGTCGTTGGGTGCCCCGCGCTTCTTGGCGGTTGCCCGGGAAGCCGAAGAGCCACGAGCGGATCTCAAGCAATGGCCCTAAGCTTCTGTAGTCGTAGACTCACCGAGTGAGAAACCACAGAGCTCGCTGGAGCGTTATGGATTGTTCCATGTGTTGCAGGCGACAATATGCAGAAGGTCGGCGTTGCGCCTTAAGTTTGGCAAATCCAAATCGGAGATGGTGCTCAACGCACACGTCCACTTCTTTGTGGCTTCGCTGGAAAGTAGACGAGATAACTTTCCGGTGCCGCTACACCTATCACTCAAAGAGCTCCTCATCATTTGCAGCAGTTTCACCAGTTTCACCAGTTGGCGAGCACCACACGAAAAGTCCGCATTGTGAGTACAGTAGCGCCTCCTACTTTAGCTCGAAGTCGAGCGCGGTACCTATCCACTGGGATTATTTAGGATACCAAAACCAGAGCTCGGAGAGCCTTCCGCTGATCAAGCCAGCTTCTGAAGTGGTCGCTAATCACAATGTCTTATCATCAGTGAGTGACTTAACCAGGATAAAGCTTTGGACTTTGCCGTTAGCATTACCTGAAAGACTATAAGGGTTAAGTAAGCTCATTACAACCATAACTTGTGGTGGTGGGCGTCCAATTACACGACTACTTCGTGCATTGTACAGCGCCAGAAATTGTTCTTCTCTGACGCCTGCTACCCAGAAGCTGATGTGCAATGTCGGAAGGCAGGATAAGCGATGTTACAGTGACTGGCAATTTAAATACGAGACTCTTCGACACGTTTGCCAGCGTCCAGTGTCAAATGAACAATCTTCAAAGACGGTGCGGTTCGATTTAAACGCTGTTACTTCAAGTGCAGTTGGTACATTTATCAAAGGGTGATATACGTGATCAGAAAGAGCGTTCGGAGCAATTTACAAGCGCTCAGTATCATATCCGTATGAGTGACGCGAAAGGGATACACGTAGCATAAGACCTACATGAGAGGCGTGAAAGGGGTTCACTGCTGTGCGTCGGCGATCTCGAATGGATTAAACTTCCAATCACAACATGATTGAATTTGCAAAAAGTGGATGTGATTTATCAGCGACCAGATGCACGTTGTCGTGAGTTCCGCGGCGGGTTGTCGAGACACTGTTCACCGTAGGAAACGGGAGCTGAGTGCGCAACTTGTGTAGCGGTGACGCGGGGCGCGGAGAACTTGCACAAACACACAGAGGATCTAGCAGAAAAAGTGTGGATTTGCCGTGTGCCTTTTAATGAACTCAAGGTTTTGCATAGGTACAGTGATCATTCTCATCAAGACCACCCCGACGCCGAGTTTGTTCGGGCGTAGCTGGTCGCGGGAGCCGCACAATTTATCCGCATCATTGAGCTATGTTGGCACATTAAAGAAAGGAGCGCAATGTGCACTTTACTCGTAAATTTGGCTTTGTTAGGTAAAATTGGCGACGAAGAAACTTCTGGTGCGGTGGTTGCGCGTGGAGCGCTACAATGTATCATGGATGAGAACGAAAAACAAGGCAAATATTTGGTAAGGGAGGGTTCGTCTCATATAATGATGTACATCCACGGTATCAGCAAGTCGATACGCATCGTTAGCTTGTTTCCCATTCAGGCCGTTGTCACTTTCGTGGCGATTTCAATACGACACAGGGTGGGGATGATTTTCCATAGATAAACAAATATTGCCTCCAAAGTTACAAAATGCATCATTTTAGTGCGAACTCAAAGAACGCAATTTTTTTTGCTTCAGTGCCGCGGTTACCCAACGCAAGTGCTTCGCGATAACATCTCACCACACATTATGGAGCTTGGTCGGACCATCTGAATGAGAATGGCCGGAGGTAGGGACGCTCTATTTCAAGTCAAGTACCCCAAACAAAGCTCAACAGTTGTGCGGTAAACAGTGGATTGAGATCCGAAGCAATGGCCACCGGCTTCGCGTCACACACAACGGTAATGGTGTCGCTAATGGCAGCAAGATGAGTTGTTTAGCTTAGTCAGTCTACAAACTCTCAACACCGGGATGACCAGGCGCTTCTTTTGGAAGTCCAATGGTGTACTTTATGCTGATGAACTGTTCTCATTCTGCATAGATCGAAAGGCTGGCTCAGAAATTGAACCCTGACACGTTTTGCCTCATAGGTATATAAAGGGCTTATTAAGCTATATGTTTTCCTCTGCCCAAGTGGCCATATCATTTGCGCTTATAGTATTCTGTACCTGGGGTCATTTTCATGAGAAACTCCCAGAGGCTGAGTGAAGCATAGGTTCGTGCTATCAAATAGCACATTCTGGTACAAGTAATAGCGGTGCATGTTTCCATTGCTGTTGCTTAACCCCAAATCGAAGACCTCCATCCCAAAGCACTCAACAATGGAACTTATACTGCATACGATTCATCTGCAGTACGTATCACGTCATCGTTATGCGAAGTCAACATCGTAGAATGCGACGGCGCATCCGTCACCCCATAAAGTAACCCCTTATATTTTTCCGTGAAGGTGTGCTCGGCAAAGAAGTATTCCTGTATCGCCATTTTCTGCGATAGATGCGTGGACGATGTTGCCGTGCATTGTTGTTCATGATCTGTATACGCCACCTATGGCTCAGACTAAACTCGTTACAGCGTAAGATCTACAGTGAGAACAATTGTGCCATATAGATTGAAAACTTTTTCTGCCACTTAGGGCTGGTGGTAACGACATTTGCTCAATCAAATTGCGCAGCAGTGTTGAGTTAGTTTAGATCACGGTATCCATGTAAGACATTCCACCGTCATGCCCGCGCCAATCGCGAATATGCTTTGTAGCGAAGGGTATAACCGTACCTTACTGAGGCCCTACCAAGAGAGAGCTTTGTTGGGCCCAATGATCGCGACTAATCACATACCCACGAAACATACGGCTGTATTCACGTCTTACCTTGACTACACCAGAAATTAAAATGCGGATCTTTGTCTGAACATCGATTTACGCTGTCGACCTCTTCACTACCAAAAAAGATTTGAAGAAACCTTCAGCAGTCTAACCAGTGTTTTCGTCGTAAGCGCACAGATATCGTTCGCGCATTCGGCATGCTTAATACCTCAGCATACTGTCTACCGTTTTTAGCAGTCGCGTATCAAACGTAATTGCATGAAAATTTTGAGCCTATCAAGATTTTGTTGCGGTCTCAAAATCAAGGGACATTGATTTTGACAGCGAACAACCATGGTGTTGTGGCTCTGAGCACCAGAGATTTGATTCCCTTGGTTCCATTCATTTCAACTTACAGAATACAATGAAGCCAGGTTCTGATCCAGCCACTTTTGCCGCGCCTAATGGCACCCAATATTTTTCCGCGGGAGGTTCTCAGTCGTCCCAGCGCACTCCATATTAATGCACCAAACGAAAAGAGGACACAGGGTCGTCCTGCATGTACAGTGCTGCTTGGTTGGTACGCTCTACGGTTCCACCAAGCCTATTCTAAAATGTGGTGGGTTTTGCATTCAATGCGGTGTACAATTTGTCATCCCGCGAGGTGTGTTTGATCTGCAAGATGCGGGGGCAATGCAACTGCGGATAAGGTGATGGACTTTACTCACGATATGCCGACCAAGATAAAGCGATCAAGCCGCACCCAACCGGAGACTCTGCAAACGGATGATAACAGCTTTGAGGGAGGGCATACCGTCACCGCTGCGATTGCAACTTGTTTACCAGTTAATTGTCGCCAGACACGATCCACAGACAGCGTCGCTATACACACCGTTTATGGAGTCCAGCAACTATTTTAAATACGTTATTAAAAAATGTGAAATGCCGTTAGGTGCTGACAAGTAGAATGGCGTTGCCGTGCATCTCACGCAGAGGAGATTTTCACTCTTCTAGCCTTCATTTCCAATCGCACGGAGGAAGAATATGCTCGTACGCTTCATCCAGGACAGGTAACGAAAGCCTCTTATGCAACTAGGTACCTAGTTTGCTCTTCTGCAAGAGTAACATATAGTTGGAATTAAGTTTAGCTCATACTAGTACCCGATATATCTGTCTTATTATTTAAATAATAAACTCATTATCTGTGTGATGCATAGCTCATTTACATATCCCATCATATCGGTGGTAAATTATGATACTTCGTCTTCGTTATTTAACGGTGCAATGCATACTTAAACCGTAATAGGGTACGTACCCTGTGTATCATAGTCATTCTTTTGGCGATCTACTACGTATGGGAGTGATTTGTTTTTCGATACCGGTAAAAACTCCCCAAGATCCAGTTAAGAATCCAATAAAAGTATTCGTGTTTCATGATCAATTTCATTTACGAATCAGCTTGCTACGCAGTATCTCCACTCCTACGATGCTCAACTTGTATCCGCCTTCTACACACAATGCCTGGAACGGTCAGCCTCCTTCATATCCAGCTGGCACGGACTCGGTCGTGGAGGAAATTTTCAACGCCACCAAAGGCGTTGGCACCAAAGAGAAGCAGCTGAACAAGGCGCTAGGGGGTAAGACAGCTACACAACGTGGCTTTATTGCAAAGCGCTACAAAGAGCTTCACAATCAGAGCCTGCGTGACCTGTTGGACGACGAAACCTCCGGTCACTATGAATTTTTGCTGAAGTTACTAGCTTCACCTCTTCCTGAGGCGGAAGCTGGTATTCTGCGCAAGGCCACGAAGGGTCTGGGCACGAAGGAAGGACTTATCTATCCTGTCGTCGTGGGCCGTACTAATGTTGAAATTAACATTCTTAAAAAGACATATTTTGACTTGTACGGCGAAGATCTTGGCTCCGTGCTCGATAGCGACTTGCACGGTGATTTTCAAAAGGTAATTCTGGCGTCGCTGCAGGCTGCGCTGATACCCTACGATGCCAACATCCATAATGCTGGTAAGGTAGAAGCCGACGTGGAAAAGCTTTACAAGACGGGACGTGGCAAAATGGGCACGGACGAGGAGGGTTTTATTAGTGTCTTGGTGGCTAGCCCGCCCGAGCATTTGCGCATAGTTGCCGCTGCTTATGAGAAAAAGTATTCGGAGCCGCTTGTGAAAGCTGCTGCGCATGAGTTCACTGGCAATGCTGAGAAGGCTGTGCTGTTTCTGATTCGTATGGTGACGGAGCCACTAGATCTATTGGCTGAACTCTTTGAGGAATCTTTGAAGGGTTTTGGCACGGATGAAAACGCTTTGAGTTCGGCTGTAGTACGCTACCACATCGTTCTACGTGACATTAAGCCAGTGTACAAGAAGAAATATGGTAAAGAGTTACGCGAACGCATCGCTGAGGAAGTAAGTGGGGACTATGGTGAGCTGTTGCTGTCTGTATTTGATGCTCGTGACTAAGTGTCGTGACAGATAGGCAAAAATATAGCCTCAAATGTTCAAAGTAAGATTACATACGATTACTTTTTATCAATAAACGTTGCTTTTGAATATGACCATTAGCCGAATAGGTGAAGTCTTCAACACGAAAGTGTTACCCAAAAATTGGGTATCACAACGTTTTTTGTTCAATAAGATGTAATTTGGTATTACAGCGTTTTCTGTTAAATAATATGAAGTTCATAGTTAGCATGATCAGTTCAGGGAGCACTTGACTCACTTAGCTTTTTTAATGCTCGAAAAGCTGTGCAGATTGTTGATCACAAGATTATACGAAACCTAGTGTAACAGAACATGCATCGTCTACAGCAAAGAATTTACAGAATAACAAAATCGACGTTTATATGGTTTTGTTTGGAGTAAAGTAACGATGTGCCCATTGTAAAATAAAAAAGTTTTAGTATTACGATACCGTTTTAAAATGATGTGATATGGTAATACAACGATCCTAATAAATTGATTTATGATGGAACTGAGCCCATTGCTGGCCAAGTTGACGCGTCGTGAGGACCTAACAGAAGCTGAGGCTACTTTTTGCGTCCAGCAAATTACATCTGAGAAAACAGCCGAGAATCCTGTAGCTGTAGGCGTCTTGCTAGCGCTATTAGCCGCTAAAGGCGAAAGCGTCACTGAAGTTGCGGCCTTCGCAAAGCACATGCGCTCGGAGGCCGTAAACGTATACATTCCAGTGCGTGGACATATTAAAAAAAAATCGTGCTGGAAATACTAACTTAACTTTGCTCTTGTAACATCAGTCCGGACGCCCTACGCTCGACATTGTAGGTACTGGCGGCGACGGAGCTAATACCGTCAATCTCAGTACTGCGGCTGCGATATTGGCTGCCTCATGCGGAGCACTTGTCGCTAAACATGGTAATCGATCGGTGTCAAGTCGTTCTGGCTCGGCCGATGTGCTAGAGGAGCTGGGTGTGCCCATGCTCAAGCCACACCACGTAGGTCCGTGTCTCGAGAGTGCTCAGATTGCTTTTATGTTTGCACCACATTTTCATCCAGCAATGCGTTACGTGGCACCTGTGCGCAAAGCTATTGGCATTCGTTGTGTCTTTAATATCCTTGGCCCGCTGCTTAACCCGGCAAGATGCAAGCGCGTAGTTATTGGCGTCTATACGCCCAAGCTGCTGGATATTTTTGGCAAAGTGTTGCTAGAATTGGGCGTGGAGCATGGACTTGTTGTGCATTGTGCCGGACTAGACGAGCTCAACTCAATAGGAGTAGCTAACATAGTTGATGTTCGTTCAGCTGCAGATATACCATTCCAACGCTACCAGTTGCACCCTAAAGACATCGGAATTCCTGTCGTGACGATGGAACAATTGAAGGGAGGCAACGCTACAAAAAATGCTGCTATCTTGCGTCAGGTATTTTCAGGTGGAATTCAAAGCGATAATGCAGTAGGCAATACTATAGCATACAACGCTGGTGCGGGTCTGTACGTCTACGGTCTCACCGACAGTATCAAGCTTGGTTATGAAATGGCTAAGAAGCAACTCATGTCCGGAAAGGCGTTGGACACGCTTAATAATTGGGTACAAGTGGCGCGACAGTTGCACGAACAGCCTTAACATCATCTCCAAGCGCCATGAGATACAAGGTTTTAGATGATAAGATTAGCTATAGAGAGAGTGAGGTTAAAAATACTTATCTTTTTCAGCTCTTCAACACATTTTCGCCTTAACATGAATCGCGACAAAGTTACTAACACTTGTGGTTCGAGCGATGTAGCAGCATCAGCATTCGACTACACATACGCTCGACAGCTCGTACAAGCATACTTTGCTATGCTAACTATCGGTTGCCAACGTTCTGGCTGTACAAATGCGTACTGCTGTTCTAATCCTCAGACACAAGCACTCTCAGCGACAGAAGCTGCGATCCAAAGTCTGTACTTTGCTGTTAAAGCTCCGGTATCGCTATGTATCGAAATGGACTTTGAGAAACAACAATTAACTGAATCTATGAAGCTTTCACGACCCAATCATTTAAACTTTTTGGCTTCGGCAGCGCAAGCACTTAAGGAAAACAATCAAGTCGAAGATAGATATTTGTCCTCAATGACTGAAAATTATCAAAGCTCGGAAGAATTACAACCAGAGACATCCGATATATTGTTGACTTCTCAAGAGCTGGATACTACAACAACTTCAACTCTGGAACGAAAGTCGACACCACGGCAACGACTTTCGATTGCGGTGCAGCTGGACAATGGTTTTAATAAAAATTGTGATCTCCCAAGGAACAAATCTCTCGTAATCTCACATGTCTGTGTTCAACCGAAGAATCAATCAGGTATCGATGTCGCAGATCCTTCCATTTCTATAAGTCAAGAAGACGACATTTCTTTTGACGAACAACAGAATGAGACTAAGTCAACAAAGGTTACAAGCTCGGTGAATGAGTTGCGAAAGCGATTATTGAGTCGTCCAAAGGAAAAACTGTTTGACGCAATTAAACGAAGCTTCTCACGTTCAAAAAAAGCACCGCTTGAGTCTGTTTAGTTTCTATCATCAGAAAACGACAGCAGTTCAAATATATAAAAAACAAGTGGGGAACTCTCTCTGCATGTAATCTCCTCACACTCTTTCCTTCCTCTTACTGCTATAAATTACATTCTTTTCGCACTTGCACCACATCTTTATCATATCCAAAAATTAAATTCCCTGAAGTGGTGCGCCGTCTGGCATCGCATTCTCGACCACAGGAGGCGCCCCAAAAATCGGTTGTGGACGCCAAGCTGGTACAAGCGAAAGCAGAAGCCCCACCACAAAAGACTTGACGTCCTGGCGAAAGCCACGGTCCGCTGATATACTTAAAACACGCATCACAGTCTCGAACCGGTTAGTGATGGCCACCCCTGCACCAGTTGCTGCTCCCGGTAAATTCACATTGAGAGGAACGTCTGATTCGTTGACTGAATTGTGACTGCGGCGTCGATTGTAGATTTCGTAAAGTTTAGCAAATATGCCAGTAATGTGCAGGTACGAAATAAATGAGAGCAATATCAGCATAATAACTCGGTCCATTGGCGTATCCTTTCCAACAATAAGCAGCATAAACGCCATTTTAAATGCCAGGCGTAAATCCAGCAAACGAAAAACTTCAGAAACCATTTCTACAAGCAAAGAACGTGTCCGTGGCGGTGAAGTAAAAGCTTGATTTTGAGCAGGTATTGGGGCTGGAGCTGCCACTGCTTCATGTGCAACTGTCTGCGGTATATTTGGTCGAGCGTGTGACGTATTAGACTGCATCCTTTGATAAAAATTTCCATAAGAAGCAGCAGCAAATTGAGAATTGTGCGAAAATTGATGATCAGTAGACGTCGATGCGACTTGCTGTTGCATCAGCATCATCTGCAAGTATTGAATTTGATGTAGCACCATAGCCTGTTGCTGCATAAGTACGCTCTGTCTGTATAAATCATGGTGAGACTGCATCTGGCCAGACCTTAAGTGTGATGACGGCGTGGAAATTGAATTCTCTGATTGGATGTTCAGCAAATTAGGCTCTGACGAAACAATGCATGGTCGAGACTCTATATCTGGGGGAGTCTCGACCATTTTGGAGGAGTTGCGAGTCTGCAGTGGTGTCTTGGGCTCAACACTTGTCTGAATGCCTGTGGAAGTCACCAATAAATGAAACACGATATGCTCGTCAACATTTCCTTCTTCCTTCAATTGGCTGCTTTGCATTTGAGCCAGAATTTGTTCCAGTGACTCGTCATCACCACAAATTTTACCCCCAAAAATAAGCTTTTGAGCCGAGATAGCAGGCGAGGAAGGAAAATCAACGCTAAGTTGACGCTTGAGATCACTGACGAGTGTTTTTGAATCAAGTGATAGAACGAGCGATTGCGATGGCATGTAAACATTGCGCACTTTAAGATTCACGAGAGAAGGCGATGGAGAGCTCATGGTCAAATGAGCTGTTTAGGATTGATGTGGGAATGAAGCCAGAAACGCCACGCGGCGAAGCTCTGCGCACGAAGATTGGTGGAAATTAAGTATACAAATAGCCAATCGAACACTGCATTGCAGACTGTAGAATTGAATGCATGGAAAAATAATAAAAGATAAAGGTTAGCTACACTTTCCGCAAAGCTTATGATATATCGCACATTTCGGCAATAATCAATTGCCCTCATCGTATCTGGAGTCAGTCAATCTGCGCCATTGCTTTTTTCTGTTTTTTAGCAGGACGCTCTTAGGTTTCAGATCTTCATAGGGATAAAGACCGCGAACTGATTTATTTCTGTTCGCCCACGCCTTTTCCAATTATGTGGCACATAAAACTATAAAAAGTTAAGGGTGAAGTCAGAGATCGGAAATGAATGCAATGATGGGTTGTGTTTTAGTCGAAATTTAGGAAGCGATTACATATTTTTGTGACTCAAGTGCCCAATCTTGGTACTGATGACTGACTGATACATTTAAAATAAATAATTTGCACGAAATTTAAAAAAAAGACTGAAAGCAAAAGCGAGCTCAAATTTCTCAACTAGCTGTCAAATTTCGGGGTGGTATGGCACGACTGGTCGGAAAGTTCCCGACATTCAGTGTTATCGGAACAGTGTCATTTTTCATGCTGAATCAAAAGTCAGGGTACAAAAAACTAAGAAAATTTTCTTGGACTTGTGGCCAAAATTAATACTATCGTAAGTATAAGTTTGTCATGATCATCTTTAGAAATCAGTGCTTTAAACGTGTTCTTCACCCCACCATCGAAATTGTAGTTTCTGACCTCGACATGGCTACAATAGTTCGGCTAAAAATTTGAAAAGCCGGAGGACGCAATTACGGGACCTGCTTCCGCTAGAAAAGGGCGCCAAAAAAAGCTCGGCAGAGCAAAAGAGTGAGTTGATGTAAAACCATCTGTCTTTGCCGCTGTTTACTTAAACTGGGTTTGATTTTTGAAGCGTATTGAATGCAATTGACATTGAGATGAATCAATCGTCGTTAATGCCAAACGAAAATAGTCGCGGTCTTAAAATGATAAATTTCTAAGCCTTGTTACTTGACTGGACGTTTCAGAGCGGGCCTTAAATAAGTGAATTAGACTGACGTACTGTCTGTCGCAAGGTAAACCTGTAATATTGAATCTATATGAAAGCAGATGTGCACTGTATTCTACCTAATCTTGGTTTTCTTTCCCTCCTTCTTTTGATATCTTGATTAGTTTAATTGTCGCGCTGCAGAACGGTTAGGGCTTTGAAAATTTCACCGTATCGACGTTTGTTGCACAGCACGGACGGAGTGGGCGGCCGTAGCCAGAATGGCATCAAGTTTGGACACTTTCGCACTCCAGCGCCACTAAAGGAAGGTCAAGTGTTTTCTTTCAACGACGTCTCTCATTTATTATATACACGTCGGGGGATACGTAACCTTATGCTTAATCATTCTGCCATCTAATAAGCTATTTAAAAGTAACGATTAGATGCAGCGAGTACTGCATAAGAAGAAAAAGAATGAGCCCAAGACGGTTCAAGACACAAGTTCAGATCATGCTTTATCACCTTTGCTTCCTACTTCTCAGTCGAATACGACTTCAATTCGTCGTCATCCTACGACATTATACCATTCAAAAAGTACTCAGAATACACCACAATTATCTCATGATCAAGTTGTTGTAGGTCTTTCTGCATCAATAGAAGACGAAGTTGAGGATTGGAGTAGTGATTTTATATCAACGGAACGACATTCACGTTGGAAACGACACGAGAATTTGGAAATTGGTTCTAGTGAAAATCAAGTGAAACGATTAAGTAGTAGTAGTTCAAATGGAATGATTGGACAAAGTCGACGTGGAAGTGAAGTTGGTGGTTCAAGTAGTAGTAGTGGTCACGCTGATGAAGATGAGACTCGAAATGTTCTTAAATCTCATTCATCTTCACACTTTCATCATGAACATAACGAGTATCAACATAGTGACAGTGATGAAGATTGGGATCTGGAGTTTGGATTTGATGATGAAGCTGATTCGACACTTGGATCGTTGAAAAATAGTATGGATCCAACAAGAAGACGAGCAGAAAATGGAAATTTCTTTTTACCAAATCTTCATGACGTTTTAGATGGTGAAATGTTCCTTGATGATGACGAATTAGATGATGGTATGGGATTAAATTTTGATACAAGTACGAGACAACAACGTCGATTATCAGATGAACCATTGTTTCAAAAACGAAAGAATGAATTACATCAATCTCCAGCAAGTGCTGATGGTAGTTCTGATGGGATTCGATCTAGTATCACGTCGATTTCAGCTACATCATCAAGTTCAGTCGAGTATACATTAGTTGACAAATTACGACTTTTGGATGTCGCAAATTCATCTGCTTATGCTGTCCGAATTGAACGATATCCAAAACCATCGACTACATTTAGTCAATTAGAACGCGATCGTTTACATTTTCCAACTTTAAGTGAAAATCGTTATGAACAATGGTTAATGGATCTTATTGTACCTCAATGTACTATCGTATCTCGGCACATGGAACTTGAACAAAAGCGATTACCACCACCACGACAATTAAAGAATCAACAATTCTATGCATTAGTTTCATTACCATTTGGACGTGAATTTGTTGACATGTTCTTCAAACAAATTTGTTATTATCGTTACTTTGGAGAAGAGAAAGAAAATCGGGAATTGCTACGAATGTATTTTGAAAAAGTATCAACAACTGGAATGACAGATGAACAGTGGGCCGAGAAAATTTTACCTCTTGACTTGGATTATGTTGTTGGGTGTAGTATCGAGATTTTGCAAGAAGCAGCACGATTATACGGTCCAAAACCTGACACTCCACTTGCAACTCACTTATCATTGTCTATGCTTTCGTCTGCATCATCTGCATCATCATCTCAAGGTAATAAAACGACAATCTATTGGATTCAACAATTTCAAGACATTTTAGTACATTGTGCTGAAGCATTTCCGAAAGCTTCAAATGTTGTGGCATTGCTTGAACTTCGGTATGTTTGTCATCATTTAGCAGGATTTGCTAGTGGGGAATACCAATACAAATGGCAAATTTGTAATCAATTACCATCGTTTCGACCACTTGAACCAGTTATTGGAGACTCAGCATCTCAAATTGTGACCGAAGTTCTTCAATACTATGGTGCATTGTTCCAACATCTAAATACAAGTCCAGACAGTCGCAGTCATCGATACACAGGGCACAATTCATCAAGTGAAAAGCTGAGTTTCCAAACCGATAATGAGATACGACAGTATGCTCTTACATCTGATGTTATTTGTTTACAAGCGCTTGTTTTGTGTGATATCCAGAGTTTATACGATAGCAAAAGTGCATTGGCTGAGATTTCATTACCAGCACTTGAAGAGCTTTTGGAATTTGAAGACGATGAAGCAACAGTCGATCCAAGTCTCGTGGGTCTTTTACCTTGTTGTCGAGATAGTCGAAGTAGTTCATCATCATCAACTACAGATCCCCGCGATGGCGGTTATGAGCGTTTTGATTCATCGAAAGGATTGGGTGGATGGAGTGCGAACTCCAAACTATTTGAGCTCTTGCGACCGTCATGTCGTACCCGAACATCAGCTTTGACTTTCTTTTATGAACGAATTGCAGCAGCAAAGTTTCCACTTATAAAAGCCAAGTGTGCTTTAGTCCTTGCAACGATGCACGTGTGTAATGCATCTCATGGTAACTTGCGCGTGGCTGAAACACTTGCTTACGAAGCTGTGCGATTATTGGATGTCTGTTCTAAGCAATTAATGGTTCAAATCTCTATTACATCCTCTCGACGCAGCCGCGATAAATCTTTGTCGGTCTCGTGTCTCAGTGTTTTTAATAACGATGGTCTTTTATCCGATTTAGGTCGTGAAGCATTGGAATGTCTGGGAAATATCTTGATTAAAAATAACAAGTATCGATATGGTATATTGTGTTTGGAAGCTGCCGGGACGCTTTTTAGTTTCTTAAACCAAGGCTCTGAGTATGAAAAACTCGATCGGTTGTTATGTAAGCTCACGCTTGAAGCTGATGATGTCCATCGAGCGTTACCACTACACGAGAAAGTCACATACGCTGCGCAGCGACAAGGAAATATCACAGTTTACGTTTATTTAACTCAAGAGATGACTAAGTTGTGGATTCAAGAAGGCAATTTTACGCGTGCTGAAGAATATTTGGCTACTGCATGTCATTTCTTACGTGATCACACGAATTTACTTCCACCACACTTTTTATCATCAGCCATCAGTGCGAGTTATTCAAGCAGTGAAGCACATTCAACTCGAAGCGGCACAATGATGACGGCCACATCAAGCTCAGTATCATCTTCCCTTTCGGGTTCATTTTATTTGTCATCACGAAGTACTGGAAACGCTAATGAAGTGGACACGTGGCTTAATCATGACATTAATCTACATTTACTTGTTCGGGATGTGTACCGTTCTAGTGGTCGTTGCTTAGAGGGTATGCGGGTAGTGGAACACCTTTTAAACTACAGTGCACGACTACCACGTGGAAAACGAACACAGCTTCGTATGCTGCTCGCTGAAGACGCTTTGAAAATGCGTATGTTTGATACTTGTCGTCACATGTTTTCGCTTATGGAACGAGAGGCAACTGCTTTTTGTGATCGACTACAAGAGAACATCAAAGGATTCACTACTGGACCAGGAAGTAGCAGTGGTACAGGGCCAGGTACAAGCAGCAGTGGTGGCGGCAGAAGTTTAGGCGGTATGGGTAGTGAAGCTCGTTACTGCTTTGATATGTCGTTTACTCTGCGGTACATTGTTTGCCGTGTCAAAATGTATATCAAACTACGGGACTTTCGCAATGCATACGCTTGGCTCTCATTAGCCCATGTGAAAAATGATCGTGACAATGTACGGAAACAAGCTCAGCTTCATGTCTTGGACGGCAAAGTGCTTCGTGCGCTAGTTCAAGAGGAGCAAGAGCGTGGAAGTGAGTCTCGACGCGATACTGATGCACGAGCTAAACGAGGACGCACGAGCTCTTCGTTTGTTGGAACCGTTGTGTCTCCTTCCCAGATCGAAGAGATGCTCAAGCCTTTAGGTGTTTCATTATACGGTTTGAACCAGGATGAAAAATCACGTCTGAATGAGCGAATGCATCATTTTGTCGCGTGCGTACGTGATGTTAGAAAGGCCGAAGAACAAGCGCTTGATGCTTTCTGGACGGCTTTTGATCAATATCGATTGCTAGACGACAGTCTTTTTCAGCTCAAAGTTTTGTTGGAGATCGTGTCATTTATATTATCACCTATTCAGCGCTCTTTTCTGGCGCTTGGTAGTAACCAGGATGATGAGATGCTTAAGTCTCATTTGCAACGTCGAAGTTCAGACAAGGAAACAATAAGCGCATTGGAAGTGAGAGATCTTGGAGGTGATGATACCGTTGAAAAGACCCGAAAGACGCTTCTGGAAGCGCAAAAATTGCTCCGTTCAGCTTTGGTTCTGGCTGAACAAGTGGCGTACCCCGCATGTTTTTTACAAACGTTAATTTACTGTAGTGAGGTATGGGTTTGGCTTGAACGTATTGCGTCGTACAAGAGCGAGAAACATCTCAAAGAAGCAACTGCGTTTTGGGAAGAAGCTGTGCGTGTTATGAAAGGTGTGTTTTTTCGTCGTGTAGCATTTCATGACATCGCCGATGCACAAATGTTACACTCTTCTGGATTTAATACGGACTTCGCAATGCCCAATGCTCGTGGATTGAACAAAGGAAGATTTTGTGTGGTACCTATTCTGAATTTTAGTGAAGGCTTCATTGTCAAATTAGAAGCAATGACGTTGCAACTCATTCTTGCTGCCTGTCAACTTCAGCAATTTGAACGTGTGCCTGAATACGTGGAAGAAACGTTACTGACGCATCTGGACGAACTTCTAAGTGCGCGGATGTGTCTTAGTAGTATCGTACATCAGCTCCAAACGTTTCGGGCTAATCAAAAGTCTCACAAACGTTTGCCTCCGAGTGGTTCAGCATCAAATCTAGCGGCAGCTATTGCTGCGCTACCATCGGGCTCTAGTCTCTCTATCTCGAGTGCCGGCAGTAGCAATTCCAGATCGTCGTCTTTCTCGAGTGTAATTCCCATTCCATCGCCTCAGCGAAGTGCAAGTGGTAGACAAATTCCGTCTACGCCATCTCCAAGAAGTGCTGGCGTTGCAGGAGGCAAACGAGCTAGTCACAAGAAAAATCAATCCATGTCGTCTATTTCTGAAATGTTAACGTCCAATGCACCTTCACCGTATCATGACGGTGCAGGTTTGTATGGATTTAAAAGCTCAGCAACACCTCGAACAGGTTTGGCCTCGTTGAGTGAGCGACCAAATGTTCCAACATCTTCTGGAAAGGTGGGTGCTGCTGTGCAAAGTGGACATACTTTCAAGAAAAATAGCGAACGAAAATCGCGACGGTATACACGAGAACGATCACGGTCCGCTCCCCAGCCAGAGGTACCCGCGTACTCGTCCCCACGCGTCGATTTATTGTCATCGCGAACTGGCGACGGACATGAATATCAGGAAAAAAGTATTCTTGTTGCCACCGAGTCTGAAGAGAAGACGGACTTTTCGCTGAAGTCCACATCGTCTGTGAAAATAATTGATCTTAGTGACCTGCAAACGTTGCCATCAGGTGAAGAATTTTTGCTAGAAAGAAGCGACGCATTTAGACGGGACGAAGGTAGTAGTTCGAATGGAGCGATCGGTTTGTGTGACTTTGATGAAGTCCAGTCGGAGAAGCTGTGGTGGATCTTTAACTTGTGGCGTAATGCCAAATCGAAATACGTGGAAGGAAAGATTGAAACGTCGGCATTTCGATCGTCCAATTTGCGGTATTTACGCACTCTGCTCGATGCGTTTGATCCACAACAAATTGCAGTTCTTTATTTTGGCGGCGCTGACAACATGTCAACAGATTCTGTCGTAACACCAGGTGGAACTCGAGTTGTTTCAGAGGGAAATTCTGGAAACCCAAACGGAATGCTAGATTTTGATGTTTCGCGTATAAATTCACACGCATTGATCCAAGATCGACAATTGGTGCTATCGATTGGATACGAGTACTCACGGGAAATGCGAACAACTTTCGGCACACATCCAAAACTTCAGTTTAAAGTTTTCCGTGTACAGGAGGGCGATACAAAAGCTTGGCGTCAGGAAATTCCACGACCGGATTGGTATCTTTCCGAGTACGACATACTTGAAGCGGAAGATGCTGCTGTTGGCACAGGTGTATTACGCACAATGCGTCTTCTTGGTGCCAAATTATTGGTGAAACTTGTGGGTGTGCTTCTGATGGATTGTTCCGTTGTAGTCGTTGGAAACTCGTACCCACAGATTCAAGAAATGACGACAAGCTTGTTGAAGCTTCTTGAGCCATTTCGATGGCAACACACGTTCTTACCGTTTGTGCCAGTAACATCGTGGCGATTCCTCTACGATGCTATGTATCACCACGCTCAGGCGGAGCTGGCGACACGACCAAAGAGCCGTCGATCATTTTCTCGACTTTCGCACGATTGGCGAGCTTGGAGCACTGGAAGCGGAAGCAGCGCAGGAGGGAGTTCGTACTCTTCGTCTCGTGGTAGTAATGAGAGTCTTCCTAGCGGTACTTTGATGTCGAATGAGATAGTTGAGGAAGAACCTCCATTTTTGCTTGGTGCAACAGCTGACACGTGGCAGAAATGCTGTACATTCTCGAGAAAATGTGGTAACGATCCACGCCTTTTGTCGTCAGGTGTGGTGGTCGTGAATCTGGATGACGTGGACGCGCTTGCAACGGATAAAATGCTTCGGAATGCCGTGCCATTGCCGAAAAAGTGGCGAAGACAGTTTTTGGATCGAATTGAAAAACTTACGAGACAACGCCACAAGATGCGTTTGAAAATGGGTAACCGGCGGGCAACAACTCCCACTTCTGCTTCCAACGTGACATTTATTCGCTCTCCTCCAGTGACGGACGGAGCGTTTCGAAGTTATGACGATGCTTTAAACACGAGTCGTTCAGGAAATAGCTGGATTATGTCGGTTTCTACTTCCGAATCAGATAATCATCATCATATACAGTCCGGCGTGCACTCATCAGTTGTCAGTGAGCTTGACGACAGAAAGCATTATGACTCGGAGTGTGCGGCCGCTTTCGTTAGTGGATTGCGTGACTTTTATGACAAGCTCTTAACATTGTGTACAGACAAGGCAAAAGTTAGCAAAAAGAAGAAAAAGAGTTTGAGCACTAGTGGCCATTCAAAGCGACAAGAGATCAAATCGTGGTTCTCATCCTCGCACGACTTTGATGCGTTTGTTGATCATTTCTTAAACTCGGATCTACTTGAAGCGTTTGAAAAAGAAAAAGCTGCTGCAAAAGAAGAAATTCATCGAGGTTTGAATCACCTCGAACGTCGATCCAGCGAGTACGAAGTCAGTTTGACAAGTAGTGGTAGAAGTTCGCGGGCACTTGTGAGTTCATTTACACCACAATTGAAAAGTTTTGGAAGTTTAAGTAGTTTATCCACCAGCAATCGCACGTCAGGTGGTGGTCAAGAAGGAAAGCGATGATTATAAGAAGGAGCTTTATATTGGTAGGTAGGTTTTCCTTAAGAAATTATTTATCAGCATCAATTTGCAAATGTTAGTGCAGACTTCAATTTTTTCATTCTTGTTCATGAGCATGATGATTTTTTTTTTAATTTCAATTGCTGGTCAATGCGATTGACAATGGAAGCTTTACCTGCACAAATGGCCCATTGCAATGGAGTCCTTTTAGCCTATTACCAAGGATATATGTGACGGAATGATGACAGATTTATTCACTTAAGCGCGCACCTTATCAAGCGTCTCCCACTTGGCTCCATTTTGAAGCAGTAACCAAATAATCTCTTCACAACCACTTTTGCAAGCTAAATGAAGTGGAGTATACCAACCCTGTGGATGAGAACGTAAGGATAAATGAAGAATCGAAAAGGAAAGAGAAGAAGAAAATCCTTTACCCATATGCTTCGTTGATTCACATCAGCACCAAATTCCAACAACAAGGCAACGGCTTTGATATCACCGATGGAAACTGCTCGATGCAATCCCGTTACGCCAGACTTAAAAGTATCATTTTCTTTGGTGATTAACAAGTTTAAAAAACGTATAAAGCTGGTCCATATATCCATACCCATCGATACTGATGAACAAGAGTAGGATACGTCTCAAGCGCTAGCCGGAGCCGTGCTATATCTCGTTGCTTAATAAGCAGACAGAGATCAGGCATTGAAGAAGCGGGTGATAACGCCATCGTATGCAGAGATTGAAAGATGAGAAGAAACGCAACTAACCAGCTTTTTATAGCACATTGATCGTTCTATTGTTTCATTAATTTGATTCGCCAAGTTGACGTATTAAAAAGAAACATGTGTGTACGCCATCCGCTATTCTGTAGAATTTGATAAAACAAAGGGAAATCAAGTACCATTTTGCCATGCGTTGACTCAAGTAATGGTTGATGCTCAATCGCAGAAGTAGGTGAAGCAGACGTTAGAGCTTGTAACACCAAAATAGCCTGAAAAAATGCCCGAAGCTCATCTTTTGGTGTTGCTTCATCTCGAAACATGACATGGACGTGATTATGTACAATTGTAAGTAAATATGCTTCGTCTTCATAGACACGAAGCAATTGATCAAGATCTGTTGAAGTCCAAACAGTTTGACGGAGTTCGGATCCCATGATTACATGAGTCGTTACTGGCACTTTCGGATCCTTAAAAATCGGTTCGTTTTGATTTATACTGCGAATAGAATACTAATCAAACATAGTGAATCAAATCAGATCTTGTCCATCGTATTATCAGTCGTGAATAATAAATACTCACATTTCCAAGTTGATGAGCCACCTGTTCTTTATTATGATTGTAATTACAAGCCAAGAAACGTTGTACAAGAAGAAGACCTCTAGTACGATTAATCGTGGGAATACACAAACATGCTACTGCATTGTAATTAGCATATACATGCACAAGCGTAAGGAGTAGAAAAGCAAACCAAACCGCAAAAGGTGACGAATTGACTGCATTGGCGAAATACATGCCAAAGAGCAATCCAAAAAGCTTCACAGCTGTCTCTTGCGATCCTTCTTTTGCAGCACAGTCAGCCATATTATCTCGTTTAGCAAAATGCGTCATAAGCGACGATCTTGTAGCACCTGCAGCCACTCCACACATTGTCTTGCAAATACTTGAGACACAGAGTACTTCAGTTACCAAAGTGGGAAAGTATGGAGCAACCATATCAAGTGTTAATCCCACGTCGTTGATCACATCAGCAAATAAACGCCAACGTTTAACATTTATGTCAAATTTTGGTCCAACAAAATAGGCAAAAGTCAATCCTCCAATCATTCCCGACCCATCACGAAGAACCCATTGCAATGCTGCTGCTAACGGTGTAGCTTTGTCATCACCTACACCAACACTTTGTAAAACTGATTGAGTCGCCAATACCCCACGAAGGTAGCTGCACATTGCCTGTAATGTATCCCAAAACTGAAAACTAAGGTAATCTTCGCTTACGCTATCCGGATATCCAACTGGTAGAAACATCTCTTGGAGCTCTCGTGTAAATCCCGATAATGTCCAACATCTCCTGGCATCCGAGTCGCGCGTTAGCAAGAGTTGAACCCCTTGTTGTACGTAGCGACGAGGAATCTCATTCATACATACAGGGCGCGAATCGAACTCAGTTACACGAATGCCCTTGCTTCCAGGGGAAAGAGGAGGAGAGGAAGAAGGGCTCGGACCCACCTTGCGCTTCGTCAGTTCCATCTAGACGTACTTACGTTTTTAACGAAGATTGATGTCTAAAGTTGAGATACAATTATTTAATGCTAGCCCAAAATATGTAGCCATCTTTGTTTATCAAACTTTTGCGTCAATATCAAGTAAAAACACTATTTAGATGACATTATCCTCTTTGTTGAGAAGTGATCGTCACTTTAAGCCTACAAACATTGGGCTACTGCAGATTAAAGCGAAAGGTGTGAAAAATTAATCGTTTCAAGTTTGACACCGCTTGCATGATGGAAGACTCTTAGTTCGAGTCTGTAGAACGAGGCAATATTTAGGACGTTTGGTTCGAACGGCCTACACGCATCAATAGTAAAGTCCATTGTGGAAGCCCAATATGCTCCAGTAGTTAATTATACTGTGGAAGTAACCGTTATAATAGCTAACGCTATCGCGGAAGAATCATATACTCCATAAATAGCACTACTGTGGAGACTCCAGTTGCTAACGCTATTGTGAGAACGTGTCATATTCCGACAGTACGAACTGTGCTAGAAGCCAAAGCTCCAGTAGATAAAGTGATGTGGGAGCCACAAGCTAAAAACAACGCTCCAATAGGCCCTTCTACCGTGTGAGTCATCGTTCTCGTAGTCAAATCTACGGTAAAGGTAAATGATATAATGGTTCATACCGCTGTGGAAGCACAAAATTCAGTTGTGAACGCAGTGACGGGATTACGTGTCCAGGCATATATGGCCCCACTGCCAGAAATATCTGCTCTCACGAGTCTAGAAAAATTAACCTTCTCCAAGTTTCTTGAAGACCTCAAGAATGGCGCGCTTGCCGAAGTCGTTATGGATCGTCGTGCAAGCGCAGCAACAAGAGAGTTTAATACGTCCTATGCCCTGGATCCAAGTGTCTTCGTAAATTTTGACAGCGATTTGAAACGCGACGCGGATCAATTGAGCCAAATGCAGGTTATCTGCTATTGAATCAATGGTCATTGCTAGCTGAGCGATCCGATTTATAGACACGTTCTGTGCTGCTAAACAACAGCAGGGGTGGACGAAAGAGAGTAACTTTCTCCAAAGTGCGCCAACGTTTTGCATCCGCAAATCCAGTAGCAAATGGCGTATCGTATACACATAGCAAGTTGAGCGCCAAAACCGTGCCAGCACAGACCTATAATCTTTGCAAAGATGCCATTGATAACAAGATGACTGGCTCGAAATTCTTTAGCGTACTTGATCTCGTAGACGGCTACTATCATATTTTTATGGATTCTCCATCGATTCCGTATACGGCAGTGAGCACACCTAGCGGTATGCTATTAAAGTGGCTTGCGATGCCACAATGACTCTATAATGCGCCAGCAACGTTTAACCTTCTCGTTACGCATGTATTTGGTCCATTGTGATCTTCTCGTCGACGAATTTCAATGACATCTGTACCCATTCGGAACCCGAAACAGGTCTACCTATCAACCATCTCAAACCCCTGGAACAGGTATTGGCGTGAGGACAGAACATCAGCTTTTTGCCAACATTGATAAACGTATATTTTGTGCCGAAGAAGTACCAGGTTTGTTTTTTTGCCTGTTGTTCGGGCAGACCTAGCAAACATCAAAGCGATCTCAGAATGGCCGACGCATACAAACCAGAAGGATCTTAGAAAATGGTTACGTTTGACCAACTATCTTCAATGATATACCAAAACTCATGCCCACATGGCACGCTCGTTATCGATATAGTTAAAGAAAGATCAAGAGTGGTTATAGACAAATGATCGTGCAGTCGCCTTTGACGATATCATGCACAACTTACAGGCAGCGCCTAGATTGGAATAATCTTAAGACGATTTACCATACAGTGTCGTGTGCGAAGCCTCCGACTTTGGGATTGGATGTGCATTGCTGTAGCAAGATATTAATGGACATCTCATATCAGTCGATGCAGCTGAAGGCAGCTCAGCAAAATCACTCCTTTCGCGACAAGTTATTGTTAGCAGCGAAATATGCTTTGGTAAAGTTTAAAGCTCACCTCTTGGGGTCCAAGCCATTCTGCGTTTATATCAACCACGCATCGCTGCGTATGGTGACTCAAAGGCCGTAAGTGTCACAACGGATGACCCGTTGGTTGTCTTTCGTTGCATAATACACCTTTACAGTGGCTTAAAGCCGAGTAGATTGCATGCCTTGGCGGATGCCTAATCTCGACGTTCCGATTACGAATCATCCGTGACTGCGCGAGCTACTTCCAGCGTATTTGACGTGATACGACAAGCGTATCCAAGCGACCCAGCTTGTGCTGTTATCCTTTTGTGGTCGACAGCTACGGATGATTGAGGCTCATTGACATCATCCCCGAGATGTCGCGGTCGAACTCATCAATACTCCCTCAAGGACGGGTAATTGTACTACCAAGTACATGAAAGAAATAGCTATCGGGGTTTCATACCCAACAACAAAAGCTTGAGACACAAGTTGGACAATGAACTACATGATACGCCTATCGCAGGTCATCCCGGTCAAAGAAAGACTTAAGGAGCGCTTGCACACAACTTTTGGTGGCCTACAATGTATGCATGGGTTGAGAAGTACATTCGTACGTGCGACATATGTCAGCACGTGAAGCCCTCCCTACACATACAGGCTCTAGTCTACCAGTGCCCACACATTGCTGGCGGTCCGTCAGCTCGACCAGATGTCGCTGGGCATAATGGTGTTCTGGTCCTTGTAGGCCGTTTAAGCAAGATGGTGCATATCGTACCGAGTTGTTACGGGGGAACAGAGCGCTCAATTATTTATCGATAATGTCTTTCGATATCACGGATTACCATAGTCAATCGTATTTGATCGTGAAACGCGCTTCACAGCGGACATTTGGGCGAGCGTATTCGACTATTAAGTACTTGCCGAGAGACAGCCAATATAGACATTCCAGAGACCGATGGTCAAACTGAACGCGCGAATCACTTTGCAAAAGACATTCTACGCAGATTAACTGTATCGTCGCCGACGACATGGAGTGATATGCTCCAGATTGTCAGATTCGCCATCAATAAAGCGGTCCATGCTTTCAACTGGCTTTACGGCATTTTACGTTAATGGCTTTCGCCATCCAGCATTGCCTCATTTTCTCATTGGGGTCACGCAACATTAGGAAGTGGGAGGAGCTCGGCAAGTATTGCCTCCCAGCTCACTACTATTGACAAGCATCAGATTTGTCAAAGTGTTGACAAGTTCATGACCCTAGAAAAATTTTGTATCACGCGTCCGGTATGTTATGGCAGAAGCGCAAGAATTACGGAAATCTAATGCTGATAAGCATGGACGTGGAAACGCACATGTATATAAAGAAGGTGATTATGTAGTAGTCAGTACCAAGAACATGACTGACGCTGCCATCTCTAGCCAAGGATCTTCCAAGCTCATTGTCCGACACGTCGCCCTATTCTAGGTCTTGAAATGTGCCGGTAACTCATGTACATTGGACTTACCAAGCTGCATCCGTATCCATCCAACGTTTCATGTAGGCTTGCTCAAGCCATACCTTAGCAATTCCTCTCGTCGCACGGATTATACAACCGAGATTGATCGTAGTCCGGTGACGGAGATCGTGAACAAGGTTGAACGCGTCGTTGAAACCCAAGAGTCAAATCACACTGTGCCACAGCACTCTGCAGTTGATGAACTTCGTCACGAGGACGTTAATTCTCCGCTTGACGCCGAGCGGCTTCCGTCCATAGAGCAGACATTGCTGCGTGACCGTTCATCTCCACATGTCGAAGCTCAGCCCACAGTGACTCAGTCGCCTTTGACATTTGATGATCCATCTTTGCGATCGCGTTCGCATTTGCATCCGAGGATGCTACCGTCTCATTGTTGCGTCCCTTATACAAGTGTAGCGTCGACGAAAATGCTATCGATACCTCCGTCGATTGCTCGACCACAGAGGATTCCGTTGCAGAGAGTAGACCCAGACGGAGTTGCCCACTTCCATGTAAAAAAACATTGTACCGGCATGCCAACACCGTGGTAAGCTACATCTCCTTATCAAATGTCTCGGCTATCCGGAGTCGGACAGCTTGTGGGACCCACATTCGCAACACCTTGCTGATCGCCGTGACGCAATTCGTAAATGTCATAAGTGGAAAGTTTCGGATCCCCACTGTCTTCACTAATAGCCGAAACAAAAGAAGAACTTTGTCCCATCGCTTTGGGTCCAGTCATGGGAGACGACGACGACAAATGCAGTGACGATGCAGGTGGCAGATACTTTACCACGTCTTCACGGCATGCAGCAATATCTGCTTCGATCTATCCCTCGCATACGAGTTACGCGTATCGAAAACGCGTATCTCGCACCTTGGCGATCGCCTGATAACGACAATAGATTTGGATGTCGAATTGGCGATAGAACGAATTCGCAATCGACGTGGTGGCGTGCACCAACTTCTAGTATGCTCTGTCCATGTCGCTGGGCGACTCCGCTGGCCGTGTTTGCACCCATGGTACTCCACGTGCATTAAATAATGGATTTGGAGCGTCGAGATGACGCGAAAACATCGTTTTAAGTGCTGAATGGTGCAAACAAACGGCTTGAAGGCCTCTTTCAGAGTCATTGAATAGCGTTTCGGGTGGAGCTACCTGATCGAGTTAGAGGACTACTCAAGTTATTTGCGTTCGATCTCCATACCAGCGCTGATATTTGGAAGGCGTGGAATGTGCCACAAGTCATCATTCGACAGTGAGTGCGAGGCGTAGTCTCCGCGTGTGGCATGGGACGCTGGTGTCGTCGCCGTTGGCGCACTCGTTCTGGGTGTAGACGCAGTCACTTGTTTTCTGCTTTGGCAACCCAAGGTGGAAGAAGCTCTCACTCTTCATGGTCGTCCTCCGATGTGTGGCCGTCGCTCAACTCGATATATGGATTTTTGGCGGGTTGTGTCAGCTCTCTAATTCGTGGAGAAGACCAAACAGAGCTGCTGTCGTCTTCGTCACCGTCTGATTTTGAAGATATCTTCGTTTCCAGTTGCATTGGTTGTGCTGGCGGCTCTACTTGATGCTGACGTTGCTCCCCGACAAATTCTGCGAGCTGAGCAGTTTGGCATATTAGTATTTCTGCTGCGAGCAGTTCGCTGTCGCCAGGCTTGGAAAGATCCGTTCTGCGTTTTTTCTGAACAGATGCCCCCGCATCGGCGTCTCGTGTGATGTCGTGTTCGAAGTCTCTCGCTCTGCTCTTGGTCCATAGTTGTACAAGTTCTTCTTTAATGTACCCTTTTTATTTTTTTAGGTAGGGGGTGGTGTAATGGGGTAGTAAGCCCATTACACAGTTTGTGTGTTTCACAATTAGTTACTGGGTAACTTAGTGTGCACTACGCTAATTAGTAGGTGCTTACAGTTAGGTACAAATCATCCGATTTTTTCGCTCAGATAAGGATTCGGATAAATCACCTATAGTATATTCAGTCTTCTTCTTAATCAGGAGATTCAAACACGGTTGTGGTTAAACGGGCGCGCAAGACAGCTACGCGAGAAGACTAAGCCCCAATGTAACACTACCTCAGCGCAAGAGTGCGTGCAGTCAGTTGTCTCGTTACAAACGTCGCGCACTCGGCGTATACCGCTTTGTTTGATCGAAATAATATTGCCAATTTGCTACGAAGTGATACGAGGATTAAACGACATAACTGATACCAAATGAAATAAGTCATGAAAAAGTATGTGCGGTGTTACAAAACGGTTGGAGGTAAGAAGCTTCGATGATCTCTAAGCGTGTGTCATTTAGCATCTACGTAGCTCTAGTATTCCGTCTAGACACATCTGTAGATGATCAGCGGAGGGCATGCCCCATCTGGTGCCAAGCACCATAAACAGTTTTTGTCAATATTTGCAAAGCGCGGATCTCATTGAAAAAAGTCAAGATGGGTTATACTCATAGCAAAATTGTTGATCAATCTGGCGGTATCCGTAACGGTAAGAGTGACGCAAGAAGCAGCAAAATGAGCCATTTTGCTTAAATTCGCATTGCTAGTCGGCCGAACGGGTAAAAAAGTCTGTTGTTATTGTCGCTCAAAATTCTGCCTAATCCGGTAACCTGTCGACAGGTGGCAGAGATTTTGCCTTTAAGACATTCTGCACGTACACGTACCAGTGGGTGTCACATATATGTTCATTTTGAGCCATTTACTCATAGCGTTCATTACGTTGTGCAGCATATCTCTACTGACATAGCGTTCAGGGAATATCATATGTCGCATATAAAATATTGTACTATAAATCTTTCTCATTTAAAATCATCACACATTATAAGTCAAGTGTATTACAGCAACCTTTGGAATAAAATCGCCTGTGTAAGCAAGCAGCCATACGCTTCAATAAAGCGGCATCTGAGCTTGAAGCTCCTTATTCTTCAAAGCTTTCAGCAGCAAAATCTGTTGCACCAACTCGTTCGCTATCATCAATGCGACATCTTCTTCATGACATGTGACAGTTTGCAGAAGGGACGGCGCGATAGCGCATCCACCACCATATTTAGCCGACTTTGCTCATACATTATCTCGGAGGCACACTCGGCAAGAAAACATCACCACTTTGCCATTCTCAGCAAAAAAGTGGCGAAGCCATTCCTTAGGCTAGATGATTATCTTCAAATGGCATAAGGTCAGGTTGTTAGACAAGAACATACTTATATCAAGAAGCTGTAGGTCCTCGTCATGGGATAGGATTTTTTCTCTGCTGTTTAGTATTGGCATGAATTGAACACGATGACGCGTTCAATCAACAGCACTTTACTGTAGTAACGCTCCACCAGGTAAGTTTGCTCGACAACAAAAAAATGTGCAATTTTAATCCGAAAATACCGGAATTGGCGCATCCAAGTAAATTACAGCCCAGGACAAATGATAAAGTGTGACAGACGACATAAAGTAGTCGATATAAATACAGATGGGTGATCTCATAATGCTTTCTTCCACAGCCTAAAATTGCTCTTTCCAAATTTCTAGGACTTTCGATATTTCTACCGAGAAAATTAGTTTGGGACTGTACCGTGTCGGCAAAAATTGCATCATAGCAAACGCAATTGGCTGGTCAGGTCAAACCCTTATACGAATCGCTTTGCGATAGAAGAACAAGTCAATATAAATTAACCTTAATATGCGTACAATTGTCTTACGACCAAGCTTCTCAATCAAGAATCCCAGAAATATTTTTTGCCGGCGCCAAAAACATTATCTGCGCTGGCAACCAGCTTAAGAGCATACAACCGAGCACTGCTCTCAAGTGTGCAATGCGGGTGTCCACATCCAATTCCCCGTACACTGTAAATTGGAACCAGTACAATGTCCGAAAAGTGTTTTGCATAGGCGCGGCGTGATCTTGATTGCTGCGGCGTGAAACGTTTGGGCGTCGCTGGTACGTAAGACGGATAACTTACCACATCCTGCTCGAAATACTCGATGAAGTGTATGGGATGACGCTGTCTTTCACGATCATTTTATGATGATCAGTAATTAGGTCAGAATACCAAACAAGATGCAACTGACCATGCTGTTTCTGTTTAGGAATTAATGTCTGCATCGGAAGCGCTGCTGCATTTTGATAATCACAATCATGCACAGTATGTCATTGGCCGTTTTGGTACAAAAGATTGGCAATAAAAAAATAGTTACTATAATACTTACTGATTCCCGCTTGATAAATTGCATGGAAAAAGTGGCGGTGGTGTCGAGGTGTTACTTTGGCAAGTACCATTATTCTATGAAGCCCTATTAAAACCCTATGGACTGTTTTGGGACACCACTCGTGGTAGGGCTCTTGTCGCCACGCTATCTTCCTCCTTCAACAATATGACAGGATTAGTAATATCCTGCGGATGGATGTCTCACTGGTCGCACGCAATGCTGTGTGAGTGTCTACAATGACACACCTTTCCAATAGCAACCGTACCGTTTTGGCGATTTACCGTCGTGCGTTCTTTTGCAAACAACCTCGGAGAAACACTCTTCAAGTTCAATAGGAGCTTTAAGAGAAAGGACTTGCATTCCCCCGATCACGTCGTTTACGAATTATATAATCATTTCCAAGCATCATTATTCCGCACAGTGGTTGCGCTACACGGTCGTTCTACCGTTAATCGTGGTAAGGAAGAATTTTTCTTATAGCTTCAGGATCCGACCGCATAACTTGCACCTCAAAGTCAACTATCTACACCACTGTAATTAAAGTATTTAGCCGCTATAACTTGTCTCTTTGGGAACACCCTGGAGACCGCGACACATAGTCACTTACTTCGTCCCGCTAGATTTAATTCAGCTTCAGCATACCGAAGCCTTATCAGAAGTACGCTCTAGGGACTGCGACTGATTGTGGCTAGTGAAATACTGCGTTCTGCGACGCTACTTTCGGTGGCTAGTGAAATACTACGCTACTTTCTAAGCAATCATAATATCGCATCTTACTGCCGCTTCTGCCTAACGGCTTCGTTTAAGGTACTCAGTAACATCGGCATTATGAGCTCAGACGATTCTATGTCCTAAACTGAAGCTGATGTAGCTTCATGCCAACACCAAAAGCGCCTCTGCTTCAAAGCTAACGTGGAATTTATATCCACCATTGCTTCACTTGGTGAGACGTGCAAGACTCCAACCATTTTTGACGCCCAGTCGCTCATGGACTCTAATGTTCAAGCCACGCCATCCCTAGAATGAGATCGTATTTCAAAAGCAGTTTACGTCGAGACAACATACTGCGCTATTACAGTCCTCGATTTTGGAAAAGCTCGAAAAAGACCTCGACAATCCCATATGCACGATGGACAAATATATCCTGAAGGTCCCAATTGATTTTGGCAGTCGCGTGTCAAATATAGTTGCATAGCGCTTCTGAGGTTATCGGAACGTTACACGGCGTAGCAAAATCTGAGACTCTGAGGTAGACGAACAGATATTTTATACTATCAGCCCCACCGACCGATCTCAATCACCACGTGATGCAAATAGGAAGTGTAGTCACGCAAGGCGTAATGCTTGATATTTCCGCAATATAATTTTTTAGCATGCCATTGGCTGCTCAACAGCATAGAAGCTGCAATCTTTCTCCTCCGCACGTCTGAGGTCCTGTCGCTCCTGGCACGCTCGTTGAGCTTTCACCTTGCGAACTTTGTGATGCACTCGTATCACAAATTTCACGCGGAACATAGTAGCTTTCGGTGTGAGCCGCACCTGTTCGGAGATTTTACATGAAGATATTAGACGTTACTGCTTTGGAGCAAGAGTCTGTCGCTATCGTGGTGATGAGTTCTCTTAACTCTTGTGTATTATATGATACACAAGAGTATATATCGTACGCTCTTGCTCACCTTTTGACGAATGGAAAAGAAACCCGATCGCACGTAATATGCCTGGCTATAAACCTGCGACATTTGTCGCTTTAGGATGTACTGCACTCAAGCGTTTATTCTCGCACGCAACATCCTAGCATGAAGACTGCTAGCGTGATACGCTACTGCGCATATCCAAGAGACTTGTCTCCTTTAACATAAATGCCGTCACTGTGGCAGTTAGTTGTGCTCCTATTTGTTGATATACTAGTGACTTTGAAAAGTGGGGTACGTTTTGAATCAAGGTGCACGAATGTCACGTACTAAAGTCTCTTGTACTAAAGGAGGAGCTTAAAATGAGGGCAACGGGTCTCACGCTTTGTAGTATATATATCGTTTCACAGGTGAGAAAAGAAAACAACATATTTTATACTAGACCAAATTCTATGTGTGCTCACTTTATAAGTTAGATAGCTCTTTTACTTGGAAGGCTCACTGTTCCAATTCTGTTTGAAGCCTAAGAACATATCTTCTGTTGCTCGTTAAAAAAAAACTCAAGATATTTCTCTTTGATAGGTGCACAACAATATTTGGTGGTAGTGTCGCCAATGTGCCGCCACGTCTTAATAGACTGCATCTTCTGTGACCCTCTGTGATTTTGGGACACCAGCTATTCAAGGATCTGCCCCCGCGACAACTAGGCACGCATAATACACTCATGTCGTTGGTTGGTCCAGATAGAATAACATATTTTGTATTCTGTTAGTACGTGACATACGTACACCATAATTCGGGACGGACCCCACTTTTCAAACGTCACTAGTATACCAAAAAATACGTCAGACTTTACAATTTAAAGACCTTGATTGTTGTAGAGACATTACAACTGAAAGACGCTGATGATGGTGAATCAGTGGTGGCTCCATCATCGATAGATATGCCCATAAGATAATTTGATCATTATCTCGATACTCTTGTCGATTTCGATGCAGGTCACAACATATTATCGCCCCGCATGTGTTGATCTGGCAGGATCAAACCACAATCCTGTTTACTTTAATAGTATCAGTACGAAGTCAAAACAAAGTAAACAAACAAAGTCGTGATAGCTCCTCAATGTTAAAAGATAAAGAAGATGACCTATCAAAGAAACATCAACGTCTGAGTAGTATGGTAACTACTGCAGATGGGCTGTAACAAACAAAGTCCAGGATCATGACGATTTAAAGAAGGTCCAGCCATCGAATTGAAGAATTGTGCTGGTTGCGGTATCCTCTGGTTCGCGGCAGATCTTGATAGAACAATTAGCGCAGTATATCGTATAGAAGAACCACCGTATCTGAATCATGTGCTAAGACATAAAAAATCGATTCCCATATTTCACTCTAGATGCAATCCTATAAGTCTCTGGCCAAAGGCTTTCCTTGTTGCGGCTGGACTACCGTTCTACTGAGCTATCGCCGTCACTTTTAATAAAGCGATACGTTTGTTAAAGTTTTTCGGTTTATGGAGCTTGTTGTATCGCTTGTGTTATACATAATAGTCGGCCTCTCAGCTTTTTATGGATTCTCTTCTCTGTCTTTAATAAAGAGCGCGAAAGAAGGAATCTCTCTTACACGAGCTCTTTACTTTGTTGACCCATGATCTGTTCAGCTGAAATTGTTAGTCAACGTAGTATTATCTTGAATTCGTTCAAGAAATTCTTTTGAAAATATGGATAGATTGCTACGTGTTGTCTTCCCTTCATTCCATCGATTGAAATTTGACCGATTTCCTTTCATCTGACTTGTGAGGTAATCAGATGTACTATCAACATAGCAAATGTCGCTTCGACTGCAAACGATATTATAAGCTAAACCGATCCAAACGGATAACGATAGCGCGACTCGCACAAGAATCCGCGACTGAGAGCAGATATCGTCAGTGTACAAAGCTTTGCATTCAATTGTATAAATGGACTGGGTAACTGGATAATGGTATTTGATAAGAAAGCTGTGCAAGGCGCCGTCATGGTCTCAACGGTAAACCAAGTGTTTATCATCTAGGCTAAATTTGAATAGAATGAATAGAGACAACCTGGTAACAAAAAATTAATTTCCGCTACATCCTGCGGTCTAGATGCTTCCAAATGAAATATTGGTGAAATGCATTAATGTATATTATTAATTTCGTTGTTTAGATGGAGTTTACTCAAGCAACGAACTCACACTGCAACGATCACAGAGGGTTTGAAGACCGAAGCATACGAGGCTAAAGAGGTGACAATGTCTTGTGAACTCGCATCCACAAATTAAAGCGCACCAGCCAACTCATCAGCACTAGAGCTGACAGTGTCCGAAACGTCATCAAACAGACTGCCGGTATCACTCATAGCTGACTCAGCAGTACTGGAAACCGTGTCTTTAACCTCGTCAACCGTTTTACCAGCAGCATCAGTGGTCGTGCTAGTTGCACTGGACACAGTGTTATAGGCTCCTTTGACCCAGCTACCGGTTGTATCGGCAGCCGATCCAGCAGCATCGGAGACTGAGTGGACAGCACCCCTTACCCAGTTGCCCGTCGCGTCAACCACGGGCGAAGCTGCGTCAGCAACATCGTCTGCTGTGTCTGACACCTTGTCTCCGAAATCGTTGAAAACCGTGTCTTTAACATCGTCAACCGTCTTACCAGCAGCATCAGTGGTCGTGCTAGCTGCACTGGACGCAGTGTTATAGCCTCCTTTGACCCAGCTACCGGTTGTATCGGCAGCCGATTCAGCAGCATCGGAGATTGAGTGGACAGCACCCCTTACCCAGTTGCCCGTCGCGTCAGCCGCGGGTGAAGCTGCATCAGCAACATCGTCTGCTGTGTCCGACACCTTGTCTTCGAAATCGTTGGCCGAGTTACTCACCTTGTCTCCAAAATCGTTGGCCGATTTACTCACCACGTCTCCAAAATTATTTGCTGTGGAAGCTGCATCATTCACGATGTCACCCGAGGTGGTGGCAGCGTATAGTGCGATCGCGAAGTAGGCGAAAAATTGAGTCATTTGGTTGATTGATAGGTAGTTGTTGTTGTTTATCGAAGAGGTAAATCTGAAAATGAAATTCAATGTTGGCTTTCAAAAACAAAGCTTGACATCGCTGTGGTGCAAGGTGTCTCAGTAAATTGCGTCCAACAAGTTGCTGGCAGCATCAACGTTATGTTGGAAGCCACGAAAAAATATGATGGTAGCGTCTCAGAGCACTTGAATATCACTGAGAAGCGATTACATTAAGTCGTTGGTAGCAAAATGCACTGTGGCTTCTCTGACCGTTTTGAAACGCCGACGTGAGTCTTTTTTGAATGATATAGCGTACAAATTCAAAAACAACTTTTCGCATTGAGTGAGAAATTGCTTAACATTTAACTGGTCAACGGCACGAATCTACAATGACTTGGCTCAAACAATCAACAACACAGAGATCAAACAATTAAAAGCTTAAGAATCACGTAATGTATTATCTAACGCTAATCGTTCGACAGCCTTCGTAGTATCAAAATAGAATTGGAAAGCAAGAAAAATGTACACACGAAAACAATTGACTGTACGATGTTCTGTGATTTCTAGGTAGATTTGGAGCCAATTTGATGTTCATACTCGCTTCGTTGCGGTGACTGTACATCCTTGTGGCCTTCACCGTTACAAAAGTAAGTCTTTAGAAGAAAAAGGAAGATATTGTAGCTACATTGTGATAGTACGAACATCGTAAGAAAATTTATAACAATATACTGCAGCATGTTATAAATGAACTGATCGAGTGAATATGCCGGCGCCAAGAAGATACGAAGCCGCAACCAAAACTCGGAACTTGTTCTGAGAAGAATTTTGCGATCAGAACTTATACTTCTGTAATGTAATTTTGACAGCTTCAGCAACGGGCAATCGCTGGATTTCTTTCACGTAACACTCCAAGTAAGATTCTCACTGCATAACAACCATTTTTGCAACTGATTGAAGTAGCGAAGTGGATGTAATCTCTCGAAGGTCTTTCCAAGAATATGCGTATGGCAATGTATGGATCGCGTTAGCAACAGGGCCGCGTGTCAACGCAATTGATGCACGAGCAAAATTTTCAATGAGCAGATGTACGCGAATTTTACATCGTAAGGTTACAACCAAGTACAAGCTCGTCCTCGTAAATTTAATGGATTTACTACAGTTTTGGACCGCTGCGAATTAATCTTTGCGTGATATACATTCAAATGTTCAACTCGTGTCAGTCATATAGTTACTTTATTTTTATTATTGGTAATTAACTGGGATATACTCACGATCCCCAATATTACCTAACTCGATAATATTAATTTTGATATTGTGGATGCAATTCTGAGAGTACATTACATGTGAATTGAAAGACTAGAACACGATCAAGATGTGTAAATAAATGGTAGACTCAATTGGAGTTGGATATAAAATTCAAAAATTGGTTTTCTTGACTATGTCGCATTATCTATCTGCAGATATTTACAGCTTAGAAAAGTTTGACAAGAAGTATGTGGGGGCGGCGTTTTCCAAATTTTGCTATTGACATACATACCACGTGCAGCCGATTTTGCAGTTGCAGAATTCCTTTTAAAAATATCTACATAAACCAACTGCATGCATAATCGCTTTAGTTATGAACATATCCATTCATTCCTCATTTTCTTGCTTGTAATATGACTACTTGAAGCACGGCTGATTTTCCAGATATTGTGTGAGCTGCGTGCGAAAGAGGTGGCTCGTTATTGGCTTGCCGCTTTTTGTGTCGCAAAGGGGGTTACCCACAACCGTCTCGACGTAAATCTGTGCGTATATGTACTTGAGCGTCGGAGTTAAATCACCCGCTTGGTTATCTGTCATCATCACGAAGCGCAGACCACTTGGTGATTCGTATTGATGGCATGTATAAGCGTTTGTTTGAAATCGTTGCAAGCCCTCAGGAGCTGCAGCGATTGGCTCATTTGATCCGATCGGATCTGAGCTTGTCTGTGTTATCGTCGAGGGAGCAATTTTACATACAAATTCTTTCAGTGAGAATAGTAAACCAAACAACAAACGTCTTTCTTCTTCTGGATCCGAGTACGTTACACTTTTACCACCAGTGACGTTCCATTTCTCCTGATACAAACACGATCCGTTGCGAGTGTAGATGTAGAACGAGTAGATCATGCTGGATATTAAAATTTCAACTTTGAATTTAATTGGTGTGTGATACACCAGATATCAACTGAGTTAGATTATAGATATTGTCCTATCGATCCTAGCATTGCACATCAATATAGGATATGAAGGATAAACACAGTTATTTTATAGTATTTTGAAGTAATTTTTTTGTAAATGTGAGCTATTTATTTGGTTTAGCTTCGACATGATTTTTAATGAACGTCCCTGACAAGTATTGAGAGTCCAAGATTTACAGCTTCAGCAAGATATTTAGTCACACTTACCCTTGAACATCTTTAAATGCTACTCAGATCATTTCACATATCGGCATGCCCTAACGTCTCAACATCCCATAGCCTCATCAACTTATACTAAAACTTCTCGGCCTTTTGGCAAAGATCGAGTTTAGTGTCATCTCAATTTATTCTACACCAGTACCTCGCTTACATCAGACAAAAGTATTCTACTTATCCTGAAAGCACTTGCTCACTTCACCTTTCTATACCACGTCACCAACACTACGCTTCTCCTCAACATACTCCGAAGTTGCTGAAGTCTCAGAACTTACAGGGCTTGTATCATTCCCAGCAGAGCCCGGAGCTGAAAAGACGTTACGATAGTCTACTGCTGTGCTACTCGAGCGAAAGAAAAACTCTGCGAGATTCTTCTTAATTCCGCGATCGAACGGATTGACCATTTCTTTCGGTGCCATTTTTGCTGCAGATGCTGATTTTCGAGTCAGATAGTCGTACCGTCGCCAATTCATCTGCTCGTTTATCGTGAGATTCTTTTCAATATTGTTTATATGCTGAATAATCATCATACTAACTGCCCCAAAGGCCATTAGATCCCAAAGTAGCACCATCATGACCAGCAGATGATTCTTAAACAACGACGGAATTTCAATCCAGACATCCATAGCTGTCAAATTACTATTATCACCACTATTGCTCAAATTGATTCGCACAGCGTGAAGATCATGCGTGGCTTCAGAAAGTACAAGAATAATGAGCACTGCATAAATACCCAGCGCGATGACATGCACTAGTAAGAAGACAAGAAACAAACGGTGGTTGCCATAGCCTACACAACGATTGATCCAAGCACAGTGATGGTCATGTCGAGCAATACAGATACCACACTGAGCGCAGTGCTTAGAACGAATGGGTTTCTTGACGAGACAAGTACGACAAAACTTGTTCATGTCAGGTGTTTCGCATTGTGATGCCATCTCTAGCATGATCTTTACATCTTGTTCATACGTGGTGATCGTCCCAGGATCTGTCGGGCAAAAAAATGCCAATCTTACCCACACTGTAATAAACACCAACTCTATTACACCAATGATAGCTAAGAAAACCTTGTGACTCTTTCGAAAAGCCTTGTAATCGGGATCAACCCATAGCACAATGTACAACAAAGTGAAGAGACCAACCCATGCTATCCAAATCGCCATAATTGACTCGGGTTGTGGTCGTATAATTGTGTGAATACCGACGCTCGTCACGTTTTTGAATTTCTTGCTATGTTCTTTCGTGAGACCTTTTTCAATTGATTCAAGTGATACATTTTTGGCCACAAACACCCTTCGTTTCGACGGATGCAAGTGACTCATGTCTGTAGATGATCCGTGTGAATGACTATGGTCGTGGCTTTGCTGACGAAATGCAAACAGCGATACACCTAATACCACAAAAATCAAAGGCACAGCAATCCACCAGACAAGCCAATAGCTTGTTGCTAAAATCGCTAGAAGCAATGCACCCTGCAGTATCGCCACAATCCCACGCGTTTGACGCATATGTGTAGGTGGATCTGCTGCTTTTTCATTGCAAGTAAGCAATTCTTTTAGCCATGATAAATTGCGTTGCTTTGCCAGATCCATACATGTGAAACCTTCTGCATCCGCTTCTTTCGCATCAAAACCTTCAGTAAGCAAATACTGTACCATGGGCTTATATTCGCTCATACACGCGTAATGTAAAACATTTCGATGCTGAGATGAATAGCCACCACGCGTTGTACAATTCAATTGTTTTCCTTCTTTTGCTATTGTAGTATTGTTTCTTAACTCAGCTTCAAGTAAGAAATGTAATACCCAGAGATGACCCTGTGCAGCTGCATGGTGTGCTGCCGTATTGCCTCGTAAATCTTGGGCCAATAAATCGACGAATCCTGATTCCAACAATGCTCCTGCTATTTGCATGTTGCCAACATGAGCTGCTCTTCTAAATCATTTACATCAATAATCAGTCATTGGTTTAATATGCTCATTCTAATTTACGTACATGAGTGGCGTTTCACCTGCATCATTTTTGGCATCCATGAGTATATCCTCTCGTCCAGAGGCGTGCATTTGCTGCATCAAAAAATGCAACGTATCGCATGAGTCTTCGCCACTCGCTGCCGCATAATGTACCAGTGTATTTCCATTCTGGTCCTTGGTTGCGAGCAAATCGACTGGTTGTGGCTGTACAGCCATGGACATGCCCCAAAGCAGAACTACGAGAGGAAAATCTCCATTTGCGGCTGCATCAAATGCAGTCTGCCCGTCGTAGTTTACGTCCATAGCAAATAAAATGCAATAATTGACCTATATATACTTATTTTACTATTTAGATAAATATCCACTACGAATAAAGGAAATGAATACAATGTTTGCTTAATTTTGCTTCTTTAAGTTGACTACCTTGATTTTTTGGTTATTGTTTGGAACAATTATTGTAACGGGGTTACACGTACACTGATTACAGGTGTGTGTGTCACACCAGATGGGCATGGTGTGACTGCACCCAAACAAGAATGCGGTTATGTGAGTAGTATACATGTATTAAGATTTTACTATACATATTTAGTATATTAGGGATATACTTAGAGAAGCACGCAAGACACTCGACAAAGCAGCGATGCGTTTCCGCGAGAATCAAAACATTTAAAATTAGGCGGCTTTGCCGCAGATAAAAATAAATTTAAATCAGTTTTGAATTTGAACCGAAAAGTCTAATAGCCTTAATTAGGGTACTAATTACTCTC